TAATAACATTTTATGTTAAGGTATACATAAGCAAAATTTGGTTTTTGCTAAAATACAAAAAAAAAATTTATAATACTTCTGGTGAAATATAATTGGTAGTTGACAAGACTTCAGTTTCTTCAACTGAACTTTCCTCAGAAGGTAGACTATTGATTTCCAAAGTAGAAGTTTCTTTAACTTCATATTTTACTTTCTTTGATTTTACATGAAATTTTGGTAATGTATATATGCGGGTGGCTCTGTTTAAACCTTTCATTTTGGCAATTTATAAAGAGTGATTTGTTTCTATATTTTTGCTTATTAGCTATCGCAGCGATAATTGGTAGGTCTAACAGAGATAATTCGATTGTTTGACCAATTTCGCTAATCAATTCTGCTCTTTTTTATTACCTGTTATTATAAGTAATCTAAAAAAAAAAAAATCTCTATGATATTAGAAATTATTTATTAGACTTTTAAATAATCACTATTAACAGTTGTAACTATTTAGTTTCTCGTGATTAGAGATGGACATTATGCACATGATGCTTATGTCTCCTGCCTCCTGCAAATGCATTATGTACGTATGGTACGTAAATAATTAAATTCAAAGTTTTATTAAAATCAATTAAATATTCTAATTTTTATTATAACATTACAGGATCTAGCTATGCATCATGAAAATTTACATGAACTATCTATCTCTACGTACTCGTGATCCTGCCTATTATAGAAATTTGAACCATGCCCTAGTGATCTTGTTAGTAATATAATGACATACAAAATAGTATAATGTAAATTGTTTCCAAGTTTATCTGAATGCATAATTAATTATTATGTAATAACGATATGATAAAAATATTGATGAAAATGTATGTATTAAAGGCAAAAAAGGGTTGATTCGATCATTTTTAGCTTAAGCTAATATTCTTGTAAAGATCGAAAGAGTAAATAACTAAAGAAAAAACATAACAAGAATATATACCTTCAATAGTACTACTACATCATTTAACCCATATCAAAATGCCTAATGCTAAACGAATATTTGGTAAATTAAAGTTTTAAATTCAAAGGCATTTACAATTTTCTTTAATACATTTTTATGTTAGAATTGAAACCGCAAAAAGAAGCAACGAACAAAAAGCGATCGGGCATGTTATATAAGAACATCACTTAGTTTACTAGTGTTAAAAAAGATTACTGTAAAAATTTTAAATCAATTTGACTGATTTTTTTATTATTGATCTTTAGGCAACGACACTATGAATTCGACCTCCAAGAGAGCACACAATCAAAGTCAACAAGCTACAAGTTCTGCTACAAGTTCGGTTCCAAAAAGATCACCAAAATACAATTAAGAACAACAAAATAATAATATTACAAGTTCTTCTGTAAGTTTAGCATTCAAAAAATGTAACACATTAGTTGAATTTAAATATGTTTATGAAAAGCAGTTGCCTGACGAATCATCATTTCAGCCAAACGAAAGAAATAATAAGAGCAATAATGCCACATTCGAAATAGCAAATCAAGGGAACAAAAAGAGAAACGAAAGAAATAATGAGAGCAATAATGCCACATTCGAAATAGCAAATCAAGAGAACAAAAAGAGAAATGATAATATCAATAATCCTATATTAGAAAATGAAGACACTATATCTTTAGCTTCCTCAACAGATCATGGAAGTGACGATAATCTTGTATCTCTTCCAGTTTCTTCGTTAGTTCACGGAAATGATAATGCTATTAGACCTCTTTTAGTTTCTTCGTCAGTTCGCAGAAATGATAATGTGACACCTCTTCCAAATTCTTTATCAGTTTGCGAGGATGATATTATTTTGTCTTCCCCGATTTCTTCTTCGGGTATAATAATAATTCAAACATATGCTTTTGATTATTATATAAAAAAATTTTTTTTGTTCGTTCTAATGTTTTAATTTTAATAATAGGCGACCTACAACCAAAATGACCAGCACAATTTCAACAAACAGATAATGAGTTTGAAATTGCTTTGTGGCTAGCCCATCGTAAAAGAATATTGGATTTAGCGAATAGTATTAGAAACAGGATGATGACAAGGATAGATGATAAAAAACAGGATCTGGCTTCTACCCCATTGCACGATCCCATATCAAAACTTCCGGAAATTGATCATGTAAGAAATAGTATAGTTTTACTATATAAGTAAATTTGTATCATACTAATATTCTATTATTTGAGTTTAGCATATAAAACTTCAATTGCAAG